GAGTGAGTTAACAGACGTTTGACTTGACAGGATGAGGATATGGTGAGAGTTCATGAGTTCAGCTTAGGAACACCTTGAGCAGCAAATGTGCGGAGGTAAAGAAAGTGCAAGAATTACGGCTAAATGATTCGGCCAGGTTGCGGAATAAACGGCTCTTAGTAGCCGAATGCGGTTGTTGATCACAGTCTCGGTGGACGACTTTATCATTCGCTCTGTCGACATTATTTGAGGTGTTGTAAAACGTGTAAGCAGAGTGGGTGAATCAGAGACGGCTACTTATCCAGAATATAGGCACGAGAATCTCATGAGCAACAACACAGAAATACGTGTGGCGAAATGCTCTCGACAGTGTTTGTCTGGTTTGGATAAAATCGTCCTGAATAAGAGCACTACACTTTTCCGAGCTTCTCAGACCTCACAGAAAATGTCGATGAGCCATTCGAGGTAATTTTTCTAGAATACAAGGATAATACACACATCCGCTCTAAGACGTTGGAGAAGCACTGCCAAGACAAACAGTAAGTGTCATGATTTTTATGTGCTTATTATTATGCTTACCATATATTATCGTACTGAACCTTTGTATGTACATTTCAGCTCATGCACGCTTGTTCTTAGACAAGTAAAACGTTGCCTATCCTCGAAAACTCGAACTCTGATCTAACTCGTCCTCGGACACATTCTGAACGTCTCAATTTACTTGTCTAAGAACACAATGGACCCACAACTACGACCTCCGTTCTTCAATGCTGACCTTAACTCCGTAGATATAGCAAAATGCCCGAATAACTGGTTTCGTACCTTCGAAACTTATCTGAAAACTGTCGAGTCTTCTAAACCCGACAAAATTGAAACTCTCATCCACTTTGTGGATCTGCTAGTATACGATCAAAATGCTAATCACACCGACTATGAATCTGCAATCGACACGTTACAAAAATTATGTCCGTCCAAAAAATGTCATTTATGCACGCTACCTGCTGCAAGTAGGAGGATGGACAGGATATTGATCAGTTCGTACGAAAACTGAAATCACCAGCCAAAGACTGTGAGTTTAAATCGGTATCTGCAACTGAATGTCAAGATGGGTGCGTACGTGATGCTATAACTAACGGCCTGTCATCCACTTCCATCCGCGAGAAACTTCTAACACGGAGCGAACTCACTCTGGACCAAGCATATCAGCTTGCTAGAACCCTCGAATTGGCTCACAAACAGTCATAGTCATATGTTAGTAACGAACCTATATCCTGTCTTACAATTCCACCCATTTCACAGAATCCCGAACTGCGTGTCGATCCGACCACTGCTGATGTAAAATCCATTCAAACATGTTATTTCTGCGGTTATGATACATATCCTCATCCAAAGTGTCCCGCTCGAGAAGCTGTCTGTAATCTTTGTGGTAAACGCGGTCACTTCCGCCGCGTGCGCCGTTCAAGAAATACCACCAAGTTCCACACAAGTTGTACAACGCCGTGTCACCACAAATTTCACTTGATCATATTTAAAACCTTAGGGTGAAAAAACGTGATATGGGGAAGAAGTCTGGTCATAGTCTAACGCACTCTAAAGTCCGTACAACTTCGAGCGTTCAATCGAACAAGCCGGAAAGAAACGAACGCAACTGACACCGGATATGGTGTCAATCGCGCCATCAATGACGCTCATGCATCCAAGCTATTGCTTTCAGTGCATAGCTCCTTTTCCTCCTTTCACTTGACAGTCCACCGACAGTGCTGGATTTATGCACCAATTTATCAGCTCCCGTCTGCAATGCGCAGCTACCTACCCCTCCCCACAAATCATCGGTGAACGAAACTGCGGCAGCTACAACCACTGTACGACAAGTACGCGGTTATTACAGCTGACAATGATGATGATGATGATACCGGTTACGCGGCATTTCTAACAGTCTCGGTCGAGCACAAGGGGGTATAAATGAGACCCCATCAGGGAAGACAGCGGGAGCACGATGGCTCAGTGGTTACAACCCGGGTTCACTGACCTGAAGGTCCGTGGTTCGAACCCATCTCGACTTCTCCTGTATAGGCTTGGGAAACCTGGCAGCATTCAAGCCCCCATGCTTCCTTGTGGTGACATGGCAGATAGGCACCGCAAGAATACGGAAGCTGAACGCCTTTTTATTAGAAGCACTTACAACATGCAATCCCTTCGTAATCTCTCTCCGGCCCTTCTATCAAGTCACACTTTGCTCATCTCGCAGTTTGCGCAATCGACGATCACCCATCTGAGAAGATGCCGTTTCTGCATGCGTAACACATGCTGATTTGTGGAGACAGGAAGCGTCGCGTGACAGCGGTCGCAGTGGAACCTTTTTGCTTCGCTGAAGAACTCCTCAGTCCTCTGGGTCAGACAAACACCGTGAAGTACAAGGGCCTCCCCTTTACTTTCGGGAAGAAAGGAGTCTGCAAACACTGACATCAGCTGTTCAGACAGACTGATGAGATGGCACGCGCCCTATTGGAGCCACTTCAAAGAATGGAGATCATAAGGAACTACTTGATACTCAAGCTGACATATTCGCTCAAGCTAGGCGAAGTTCACCTAACACGTTCAAAAGTTTGAACAGTTACATCAGGCACCCGTGGCTACGTCCAGGCTGATAGGGGACTTAGTATCCCAAGTCTGAATGCAACCATCCGGATGCAGTGGAGACCTCGAATGGAAAAGCTTCTGTCCTTCCAGTGCCGAGTGTTACGTAACGTGGTCAATGATTCCGCATTTGACAAGCTTGTTCAGGATCTCAGCCTTCCGATCTGAGTCCAAGGTGCATGCGTAAACAACAAGAATCGGTGGCTGTTTGGGGCGATAGTCTGCACAACAGCGTTGATAGTCTAGCTTACGAGAGTTAGACACTTCGCCTCTCCCGAATCGATGGCTTATGCTTCCAGAACGAGCGTTTCCTCGGGTATTTATCCGAGGTATTCAGCCCCGGTGCAACCCGCATAGAACCAGAGTTAGGAGCGCCCGGTCTGGACGATCTTCCGTCGAGTAAACTGTGGTCAACCGGAGAGTTCGGTGCATAGTCTGAAGTTGTATCAGAGATCTGAAGAAGTCTCGGGTTCGTTGTCGCAGAGGCCACATCTGATACTAACCAAACATACGATAAAACAGCCCCCACATACGGGATCTAGAATGCAATTTTGCCACCTTAGGTGTCTGAAACGCAACCCGAGCCATTGAGATTCGTGTACTGACCGCATCTATCACACTACAATCAGAACTAATACAACTTCCGAGATACGTAAACTGCTCCACAACTTCGAGTGCCTTTTCTGCATTGTAAGTGGCGTGTTCACTTACTACACGTCCAAGAGTATGACCTTATACTTTGTTGGATGCAAAGTGCATGCCAAAGGATGAGATGATTGATCAGTTCATCGAATACACGTCTTCTTGTCCCCTTCGAAGACGAGGACGATCTTGTCAGCATATTCCAGATCGGTGTGTTTTGTGGCAGCAGCTATTTGGACACCGGCGTTCGTCTCTCCAATAAAATCCAAATGAGTGGCAGCGGGTGGCCACAAGAATTGTTACTCGAAGTACTCGGCCCAATGGTCGAGGGGTTCTTTATTCAAGGTGACCGAGCTACTGCGATTAATGCAGTTTCGCTCAAGACCGTTTCAGGTGACTAGTCACACGGATTGCCGTGTACCCTAACAGTATCGGAACGAATTCCGTCCGGTGCTCAGGTGAACCATTTCCACAAATTATTACACAATCCGGACTAGATACAGCTGGTCGTGTCCAGCACTTCCAAATATCGTCTTGCGAATGAATGCAAAGCGTTCGAGACAAATCTAACCACTGAAATCATGTCATCGCGCCTCCCGTTATTGCCAGAACAGTTATTTATTTATTGGCAGAATGATCAGAAGTTCAACGCCTGAAGCAGAGTACGCATATGCATACTGCAGCAAGGCCGCAAGGCTTCCGGTGATCTCGTCAATGTAAAAACGTATGGTCGCTATGAACACACGAAGTCACCGGAAACATGGTTTGATCAGGTCTCACAGCATGACTCTCCAGAAGTATCAACGGGCAGATATTAGAACACATGAAAAGTCGACGTTAAAGAAACTGAACCCGTGAGGTAGTGATTGGTAGAAAACATCCCTCAGCGACAGCACGCTTCTGGTTCCCAATTGACGTGCAACCAGAGGAAAGCACGAAGGCTGGGATACTGTCAAGCTGCCCAAGCCTAGACAGGGGAAGTCGAGAGGCAGGGGTCGGATTCGAACCACGGATATTCCGGTAGAACCTTCCATTATTTTATCGCCACCGATACCAATCGGCACTGAGCCAACCTGTCCAAGATTTTCACAGTTAGTTTCCGAGAACCAACTTTCTATTGCATGCAATGCGACACATCGGATGACGTAACAGCGGACTTACTTCCTACAGGAGAAACTGCTGCACATTTCCACATCTACGTCACAATAAACAACTGCACGCGCAATTCGTGGCGCTATATGCAGTTTGGGTTGAGCCGGATATGTAAGTAGTTTAACGTCCTGTGTCCGGTGCACATCTGAGAAAATGAGCACAGATGGTTACCAAAGGTGGACAGTTATGAAGCCACAAGCAGCATATACCCAACGCGGTCCGGTGGCCAGCACGATTCACAAGACCCACAGTCACAGGTACCCAAGGTTAGCTACTCACGGTTAGCGTGGGTAATAATAGACTATTGCTGAAAGCTACTGCTTGGTCAGCGTTGTCATTAGTCAGCTTGGTCTGTGCAGCGATGCACGATACACTATCTCTTCTTAAACATGTTCAAGACATACGTCGAATACATGAACCCGCAACCAAAGGTAATTTGAAAACCGCGACCTCGGAACGAAACAACTCTGAATCATAATTTACAGTGAGCGATGCAGAAGTTGCACATAGTTGAGGTTTAATAAGGTGAAACTGTAAGTCTCCAATTAAGCAAAGTATAAGTGAAAAAACTTAGTGGTTTATCAACTCACTGTGTAGAAAGGTTCACCTTCCGTTGGTTCATCCCGGATGCATTCAATGTGCGGAATCTACAACGGTATCGATTACCCAGAGGTAAGGTACCTGCTCCATGCTTATGGAAAAACTAGGAGACTGGAGCTGGATGTGGGGTACACGGAACCCTTTCTTTGTCTATCGGTGAACAATTAGGCTGAATTTCTTTTTCACCTTCAGATCCGACAGTATATCCTTGGCCGTAGACCGAATATCAGCAGACGGCCCTGTATAGGATATTCGAATAAGGTCAGGTATCTGCTCCCTTATAAGGCCATGCATGGACGTATCCAACGTCGCCCCTCCTGTATCATCCGCCACAGACTCCAGAAACCCAGCAACAGCGGGGCTCCCGAAGCCAAAATACCATGAATCAAATGTCCTCTGGAGCGTCTGAAGGTCCTCAAGTCGGATAACATCATCACGTTGCCAAAACCCTTGAAGCAGATTCAGGGAATCACCTGTCCTCTGAAAAAGAGCCAAGCTGTGCACTGGGCAAACGGTTCCCATTGTTTTCATTTACGCAACCACCGAAGGAACAAGAATACAAGACACTCAGATCGAGACTAGAGAGAAAACCCCGACCACGAGAAAATGTGTGGCGGGTCAGCTTGAAAAGCGCGTCAAGGTTAACGGGTGTTCAGGATATTCACGGATCCACAGATTGATACACAGGGTCGAGGCTTTTGAATACAAGACCTCAGATCGAGACTAGAGAGAAAACCCCGACCACGAGAAAATGTGTGGCGGGTCAGCTTGAAAAGCGCGTCAAGGTTAACCGGTGTTCAGGATATTCACGGATCCACAGATTGATACACAGGGTCGAGGCTTTTGCCCAAGATTCCCGGGTCGGTTCTGTTCTTGTCGGTCAGTGGCTGTCGTTC